AACATCTGCGAGTCTGTCCGCTGCCCGCTGAGTTCACCTCAGTCTTCGTTGGAGGCCAGTCCAGCACTTCAAGCTGGACGGAGGAGAGAAGAGTGGGGCCGAGGGCCCAACATTTGTGTTGCGACATAGAACTTCAAATCTCATAGCACAACACACCACAGAGTCTACGCCTACAGGTCCCATGAGTCCACGGGAGAAAGCAGACTTGCCCACCTCAGGTTCTTCAACCAGTCACCTCAGCACCGCAGAGTGCCCCTCGCACAGTGGGGTAAGTATCACACGCACACACACACATTTGCTGTGGTTGGTTCAGAGCAGTGAGGCGTGATGTGGGTCAACTGGTTACACTGTAAACGTATCCCACCAAAACACACACCCTCAAGTTCATCAATAAACAGGTGTTGTTAACAGGAAAGTATAATATAGTGTAACTGATGCTGACCAGTCTGTTGACCTAATAATAAAAAAAAAAAACATGAGCTGGAGGATTTTTTTTAAGTTTAATTAAAGAAAGGAATGTCAATTTTCTTTTATATTTTATATCAGTTTATTAGCAAAGTACAAACTCGCTGGGGGCTCTTGTGTAGATAAATACAAAGTAGATTTGAAGCACACACACCACACACATCGATTAAAAACAGTAATTGGCACTGAGGGTTAATCACTTGGTCATAGTCTGGCCTCAGTTTGTGTCCTTTGGAGTTTATTGAACGGCATATTTAATTTAACATAAAAAGGCTGCGAGGCTTTTCTTTATTAATGAGCATTATAAAGTTAGAAATGCCAATAACTGTTTAGGAACATTTTGGACCTACTTTGTTGTTAGTTCTGCGAGTGTGCTTTTGTTAGGGAATTATCCTTTAATCATTTAACATTAAACCATTAAAAATAAAACAAATAAAGCGCAGTACATAAAACATGAGTTGAAGTAACACATTAACACTCTTCTCAGTGGGAAGTTTCCTGGAGACAGAAAAGTTGTGAAGTATTTTACATAAAGCATATCCAGTACAAAAAGCACAATCTATGCCATTAGCAGTTTGACAAAGCTGTGTGTATAAAACTTCAAATGCAGTCTGCTGCTATACCTGAGCAGCTTAGAAAGAGTTGCTGGAGAATTAAATTTTGCACGTTTTCATCACGAACCTCCTCCTCAGCTTTTCCAACCTCAACTTATTATTGACACCCTCACCACCTTCTAGGCTGCTTAGACTCAATGATGAGTCATTCTGGGGTGTAGTAATTAGCAGTGCATTTTGATGAGGTTGCCTCAGGGACTGCCTGATGTTCACTTTTGGTTCCTCTCTAAAATCTCAAGCAATGTGGATAGTGAATAAGGCCAAAACTCACAGCTGCTGAAATAAGCATGTTAGTACTATATAGAGTTGTCTTTGTGGAAGGAAAGCAAATGTTACCAAAAATCAGTGTGTTTAGCACCATATGAAGGTAACCTATCACACAAATGTGCCCGACACTCACCCTCAGAGGCACCATTTGTCCTTTTTCAGACTGAACGTGTGTGTGTATACAGTCGGAGCTGCTGTTCTATTGTTCGCTGTGAAAGACGATCAGCAGTGGGACACTGAGCTGAAACACAATAGTATTTGTGTGTCTGCTTGTGTTTGGCCTTTTTACCCGCTGTAACAGAACACAGACACCTGAGACAGCATCGGGGCTCCCTGCCCCAGTCAGCAGGGACACGCTGTGTTAACACCCCACAGGCCACATTTGAATTTTTAAGTGTTTTGCTCAGGTGTTAGCTTCTCTCAGATGTGTTGTTTGTGCTTGTGCGGTTTGGTTTTGGGGGTGGTATTACACTTCCTGTTTTCCGTGAAACTGGAACTTTTTTTTTTTTTTCTTTGTCAGTGTGACCTATATATTTCATATGTTTGATTTACATTTGATTTTATGGTAGGGAGATGATCTCCTGTTCAGAAAAATTTACACGTTTCTGTTTTTCTGATAGTTTTGAACTTGTCCCTGTGGGATTCTGGCATTTGAGTGCTTTCCTGGTCACACCCCTCTGTTGCAGAGACGAATTTTGAAACAATAGTTTCACATCCCAAAGTCATCAGTCTGCTATCTTTGCATGAACTATGTGTTATAGGGAATTTGGTGCTCATAACTGTTTTAGAAATAACATAAAAGTTAGAGATTGTCATGAAAGATGCCTGTAAGGGCTAAAAACACAACATCATTAAAGTCAAATTATGGGTCTTTTTACAGGTCATTTAATTTACTGAAAGTAATTAAGATGTTGAAGAATTTAAGGTGGTAATATCTGTTACATGAGTCCAGTCCAGTTTAAAGTTTTTCATAATGGAGATAATGGAAAATAATTTGAGTAGGAATAAGAAAATATCCCACATAGGAACAAAAATATCCGCAGAACCCAATAAACTCAGTCAACATTATGTCCTCTGTTTTGTTTTGTTTGTTTTTTTTAAAAAAGCTGTTTATCCTAAGATAACAAATAATGACAAACTCTCATAACACATGTAGTACACACAGCGCTGAATGAGACACGGCTAAGGAATTTGTTTTCAGTCACGTACACACAACAACGTAAAAGGAAAATGCCAACAGACGAATGACGTCTTCAAACATCCTCACTTCGTCAGGGTGTTTTTTTGTTTTGTTTTTTTATTAAACTTTTATCCATCTCAGGTTAATGTAACATCACTTTTTACTTCCTTTTCTTGTACCTGTCATCCACAATCACAGTCATTAAGTAATTCTAGCATCCTTCTTAGTCATTATTCATTAAACCCTCGAACATTGTGGGGAACAAATTAGCACTTACAGTCACCAGTTAGTATATTGGTTATACCTTGCCGGTGCCAGGTTGGGCCTCCTTTTTCCTTCAGATCCACTTTAACTCTTTGTTACACAGATTCAACCAGATGCTGGAAACATTGCTCAGAGATTTTGGTCCATGTTGACACGAAAGCATCACAGTGGCTGCACATCCATGATGTGAATCTTTTCTTCTGCATACTTTGGTTGTAGCCATTTTTCTCTGACCTCTGACATCAATAAGGCATTTTGTCACAGAAACTTCAGTTCACTGGATGTTTTTATCTATTTTAGACCATTTCTGTAAAGCTTAGAGATAATAAATCCCAGTTGATCAGCAGTTTCTGAAATGCCAACAATGTAATTTCGAAGTTTCCCTAAATGTTTCCCTAAATGCCTTACGTTGCTGCCATTTGATTGGCTGATTGAGTATTTGAACAAAGTGGCCAGTGAGGGTTTTCTATTTTGAAGTAACCCACCAGCATTGTTTGTGAAAATATCAGTAAGAAGGCAAATAAAATCCCCTGCTTTTAAAAATCTCCCAGCTTGGTAAGGCTTTCAGAGCTTCCATTCTTTATCCAGTGAAGCAAGGAAGGAAAAAAAACTTGCTTCAAGGTCTTTAACTGTGAACAGCTTGATAAAAATCTAGGACTTTGTTGCTGGACTTGCAAATTCATGCCTACTTGCGTTCATTTGCACAAACAGTTTGTCTTGTGACCACTGGAGCACTGCACTGCACTGCAGTGTGTGTGCGTGTGCGTGTGCGTGCGTGTGCGTGCGTGCGTGTGCGTGCGTGTGCGTGCGTGCGTGTGCGTGTTTACCCTTACTGCCCCAAGAGAGCAGCTGTACATGTGTGAGTCACATGTCTATTGTGCTGTGCAAGGGTTAGCGTGTATAAGTGTGAGCACTTCCCTCCAACACCAGTTCAAGTTCCAACTCTTGTGTCATTGGTCCTCAGAGTTGGACCATGTAGTTTAAAGTTCACTGGAGGATGGTGAACCTCTTTTGCTCACCCCTGACCAAGCTAGAGAAGCTAATCATTCATTACAAACACAGTATGTGTATGTAGGTGTGTGTAAGTGCATGTGCGCCATCATTAGTCAGGAGAAAGTCATTAGCCAGGTATACATATAGGGTAGTTAATGAGCCTGAGGGGAGCTGGATATATGTTTCTTTTTATGTGTGTGTGTGTGTGTGTGTGTGTGAGCGTGTGAGGCATTGGGCAATATTGCTGTTTTGGGACTTTTAAGAAAAACCGCCTCATTTAATCTTGAGCAGACCGATACCTTGAGGGATTTCCTCTTCTTGTGTCTATATATCATCCAAGACCAACTTTTTAGCTCATGCTCAGAGGAAAAGTGTTGCGAGTCTTTCTGCTGTCATGCTCTAACATTCATTTTTCGTTCTTTCTTTTTTAGGTTTTATTCAGTATCTTAAGAGATCCCAGATACAGCACATTTTGATTCATTTTCACAAACGTTCTTGCAATAAATAACTGTGCAATCCCTTCATCTCTTTGTTTAGTCTTTAAAAAATGTAACACATCCAAAATGAACAACCACTCCCACTTTAATCATGCCATGTTATAACAGACTGATAAATTGAAATCACAACAGAATATATAACCTTTTTATTTCACTCTTAAAATACTGCCACGTTAAAAAAGAATAATTAAAATGGCTTAAGGCAGACCTTCCCAAAGTGTGGGGCTCGCCAAACCAACTTCATTCTAAGCCAAAGACTAGAAAATATGGTGAAGCATATCTTCCCTTTGGTTTCACCTGCACAAGTGCCAAGGTAGGTCTCGCCTGCATAATTGGTTTTCCTCTGCCTTTCTAAATGGAGGGACAGTAACTGCGTGTGTATATGCAAGCGTTTAAAAACTGAAGATGGAGACAAAATACTGTTAATCTGACTATCTGCCATTCTGCAATTCATCTCATGTAAACAATAACGTGGCGCACAGCGTGACGTGAAAAAAGGCACATACCTTTGACGTTGCGTGACCAACTTTGTATTCCTCGTCCACGCGTAAACGGAAAAAAGGAGTTTTAAAAAATCTCAGTTTTCGGTGATTTGAAATGCCGTTTACGTGTGGACGAAACAGCTGCGTTTTCAAAAATACCCGTGTAGGTGCGGACGTAGCGTAAAAGAGTTAGTAGAGTATTTTATTACTACCTGTAATTTATTGCAGATTACTTGTATTTGCTTAATTGTTTGCTAAATGTTTGAGGTGTGAAAGAAACCGCAATGGAGCAAAATATGGGTGTGTGTGGCTGGAGGATGTGTTTGCATGCACGCATCAGAAGGGGGGTGGGGCGCGAACATTTTTCTTATAAAACAAAGGGGGGCCTAGCAAAGAAAGTTTGGGAACCACTGACTTAAGGCATTAAAACATCCCATCACTTAACAAAGCTGGTGAAACTCAGCGTGCCTGCACTGCACTGATAAGGTTATTTACCTTGTGTGTCAGACACAGATGCATTTTGCTACAATATGAGATAAAAAAAAATATATATATGTATATTTGTGGTATTTCTATTTTCAGTAAACACATGTACCAGGCTTAGCTTTGCAAATGTGAACACTGTGTTTGCTGTTTCCGGCTAATCTTTGAGTTTTGGACTGTTGGGCAGGAAGAATGAGCCATATGAATAAGTCCGTTTCAGCTTTGGGCTGCAAGTTGCACATGCTATCAATTCTTTTTATTCAGTGTTTGGGAAGAAGCTCCCAACTGTCCTTCGGGAATTTGTTTTCCACCCCCCAAAAAATGGAGAGGAGAAGTGTTCAGCTTATACATGACACCAACTGTGACACGTTTACACAAAATACACGTGACTGTGCCAGACGAGCAACGATCTGGGCCTCGCTGACCTCCGGACTGTGTTGTTACTCATACACGATGAGCTGGTGCATGGTGACCTCACCGAGATAAGAATGAATGCTTTTTGGATAGATGGGATCATATCAGTAGACATGCACTCTCTCCTATACAGAGCGAAATCTGACTCTGTAACCTCTGCCATAATACCTTGTTGACAACCATGCAGCTGAGTCACATGTTCAGGCTTTTTCACAGGCGTGTTTATCTCTGAATGTAAGCACAAGTGTGTGAGGGGTAGCCCAGAGTTCCAGGAAAACTGTCCTGCTTCGCTGTGACAGACCTCCTCCTGTCCTCTCAGTTTTTAGGTCTGATTACAGCAGCTTCAGCTGAGCAGCTGGCAGCTCGGCTATTTGCGTCGCCTGCTGCTAAACCTCAGCACTGTGGCTGATTTCAAATGAACTGATGTTTCACAAGAAAAGCAAAAAAAAGTTTCTGTGCCTGCATCACTGGCAGTCGGTCATTTTCAGTTTCTCTGTATTTTTCTTCCTGAGAATATGCGCAGACACCCATAGCTTCCTCTTTGCAATCAGCCTCTTTCATCAGCTTTTACGTGGCAGAGAAAGACGAAAGCTGCTAACTACCAGCTACAGAATACCCATATTAAACCCGCTTCTCACGATCAGAGCAGGAAAGCACTCTGGCAGGATTTAACAGCTGTTTTTGCAGATTTTAATAACAACATTTCTACGGTCGTGTGAAAACAGCCTCCAAAATGTCAGCTTCACACCAGGTAACAGAAACGGCCTTTTCAGTCATTTATTATTTGTAATCAAACCTTTTGTGTAGGGGGAAAAAAGTTTACTAAGCTAGCATACTGTAGCTCAGAGCAGGAGAGCAGTTTGTCTACTAATCGGAAGGTTCGTGGTTTGATCTCTGGCTGCTCCAGTCTGTATGCAGAATATCCTTGGGCAAGATAGTAACCCAAGTTGCTCTAATGCATCCATCGAAGTGTGAATGTGTGGATGTTGGATAGAAAGCACTAGAGCATAGAAAAAGTGCTTGTATTAATGGGTGTGACTAGGAGAACAAGGCATGTTTTATAAAGCAAGTATGTGACTGTGACTTGTCACAGTGCATGTCCTATTATTTTTAGCTGGTGGCCATATACTTGAATACTATTCCACTTATGCACATCATAGAACTTTTTACCTGCTAATGTCTTAACATACTTGGTCTGCAACTTGCAGTTTTCATTTCTGATTATTTTTCAAGAGGCTAATTTTGGTTTATTTAAAAAAAAGTGTTAAAAATGAGGTCAATTGTACTAAATCACTATTTTTCTGACAAACACTCTAACAGATTATGTCCCACGGTGTTATGTGCGGGCGTTACTTCAGGGCTTCAGCGTTGTCGTACATATAGATTGTTTGGTGAAGTTTTGTTGATAAAACTCAGTCACAAGATTCAGTCTTGTTTTCACATGATGTTAGCATAATTTTATTCTGATATTCACGTGGATTCAAATTACAGCAAGACAGGTTAGGCGAGTAGCTTGTTGCTAGGATAAATTATAAATAAACTGTGCGCTTTGCATCCAAAACTAATCGGGGATTTTAGTCGGGTCATGAGATGACAGTAGTTGTATTGATAACTGCAGTAGATGCTGTGCTGCTTATGTGTCATACACTTTCTACATCAGCGAAGAGCACCACACGTGTCTCAAAAGCCGACGAGGATATAATATCGCAAGAACAGCTACTCGTCCGTCTGTGCATCTGCAACCGAGCATAATCCTGACCTTAGAGGACATGCTGTTGTTCCTGCTGTGCACAGACACGTGTGCACACACAGAGTTACTCAAGAATCTCACAATCCACAACCAGACTGGCAGCACCTGAAGTTAAGGCCACACCTGTATTACTTGCATGCATGGACACACATGAGAGGTTATCCATGAGAGATGCAAAGACCGGAGGGCACACGTGATTGTTTGGCAGTCACCCAGAGACCCTCTGCTGACATAGTGCACTAGGTCCTTTGCACATAAGTACACCGAGAATCAACGTTAGGTGAAACAGCAGATTCATGAAAATATTGCCCTCAAGTGTGATGGAAGCTTTTGTCCCTTCCTTGCATTTTTGCGGCCTCTGATTTGTTCTCATGTGTGGTTAAACACTGTGTGCACACAGATTCAAGGAAAAATAAACTTCGGAGACGTTCACTTTCAGTTCCTAAACGGCATGTCATGGTCAGTAGGCACACGTGCATGAGCAGAGACCTTGCTGTTGCAGTGTATTTTGCTGGTGGGTCTTTAAAAACGGGGTTAGTCATGCATTATATATAAAACAGGACTCTCATTCTCCCTCTTTCTGCAACCCACTTGTTCTCGTGTCCCTCTCTGTCTTGCCACTTTTCCCCTAATTTCCTCACTTGGCCTTTTCCTGCTCCTCTGGAGTATTAAAAAGAACAAGAGGGATGCCATTTCTAATCATCTCCTATTAAACATAAATAAATCTGTGGCTTGTTAAGAGGAATAAAAAATAACAATAATCATCAGTGTATGTGTTTTGATGCATGTGTGGCCTTAATACTTATCAGCTTTCCCACCTGAATCCGCACACATCATCGGTGTGTCGGCGAGCGCTTAACTGTGTGCGACTGTTTGTTTGCGTGTCAGTAATGATGAATGACTGTGTATTTATCACAAAGCACTAGCCATATTAATTCTGCCACAGACTACCCAGCGGTGACAGCTATTGTGTTGGATTGAATTCACACTGTCTGTTTAAGCCTCTATTTATAAATGATAGCTCAGACAAACAGGGACTGCAGCGATTTAATAATAAAATGGCTTTGTTTTCTTTACACAATAGCTTTAATTTTCTTCCTTTTACAGTTTTGTTAATCTGATTTGTTTGTGTATGCAGTCAGATAGGGATGATAAAATGTGTATTTTTGCATGCTCGTATTCTCTTATAGATTTTGTGCACCACATGCTGGGATATGGGACAGTTTAAAAGCTTTGCACGGACTGTCTGAGGAGTTGTCAGTAACAGCGTTAAAGGTAGAACGAAAAGAAAAACGATGGAGCTAAATTCTCGAGTTGTAAATTTATGAATGTAAATAAGTTGTTATGTTTCCTGGTTTGAATAGTGAAGTAGATTAAAGGGAGGTCAGTTTATTTTACATTTTGGCTTATTTTTAAACACTTCATCGTCTTGCTTCAGTAGACTTGTCTCGCGTGCTGACAGCGTATGAATCAGCGCGGCGCCTCAGCTGCACGGGCACAAATCTGCAAGGAGGCTTTCAGCTGTTTGAGTCTGAGAGCAGCTGGAAGTGTCGAAACCCTGTTTTTATTTACTTTGTTTGAACTAATATTAGCTTTTATTGCTGGTTTATTCATCTGGATTTTTACTTACCACTACAATATTTTATTATATATTAATAATTATATACCTTGAACTGCAATACTTGCACAAAAGGTGCTATATAAAAAAAAATATATATAGTTTTTTTTTTTTTTAGTTTTTTTTGTTTAAACATAGCACATTTAAACACAGTTATGAGTTTGACATTGACTGAAGTGTTGCACATGAAGCCACTCATGTATATAAGATTTGAACAAGACAACTAAAGGAGAGTTACAACTTTTAGAAAATAAGAAACTTAAAATATTTAATTAAAAAGCTGTTCACTGGTAAAAAAAACCAAAAAAACAAACACTCTAATTTGCTACAGTTAGCTTCAGATGAAAGTGGTCTTAAATATCCTCAGTGTATGATCACATTGTACAGTGTGTGCTCTTCCAGTCACTGGTCAGCAGTAGGTTTAAGAAAGGATCCATGATGAGTCTTGTCACTCATGTTGAATGTAATTTGCATGTGAGAGGAGGATTGCACAAGCTTAGATCGATGATAGCTCCCACATGTTTGAACTGGGTAGCGTGCAGCCAGAGCAGGTTCATGGTAAAGGTGTCAGAAAACAGCTGGTCCTCTTCGACTAAGTGTGTGTGTGTGTGTGTGTGTGTGTGTGTGTTTCTTTGCAGAGCGTCCCAGAGTGCGACGACAAGAAAAGGGTAAGCGAAGAGGATGACAGAGGAAGAAAAGAGGAGGAAACGGAGGAGGAGGAGGAGGAGGATGAGAGGAACGGTGATGAAGGCTTCATGGGAATGACTCCACTCCTGCAAGCACACCACGCCATGGAGAGGATGGAGGAGTTTGTACACAAGGTGCAAAAAACAAAACAAAAAAAACCAACCCAACACCCCCCACATTCACAAACACACTTCAGACCTTCGTCTTAACTCGTCTTAACTTATCTGAAAAGATTGTTAGGGAGCGCTCCACCTTTTAATTCCACCGCCCACTAAATTAGGTACTCCTCCCTTGGGGTATGTTTGCTTTACTGAGGAGGTTTTATAACAACACTCAATAAAGCCACATAGTAAACGACAGCAATAAACCCATAAAAACAGCTACGGTAGAGTTCTGTGTTTGCTTAGTTTTTTTTTTGTTTGTTTTTTTTTATCGCTTATACAGAATGTGTTTCAAAAGACGGAGAGTTAAAAAAAAGAGTTCAGTAATTTTAAAGTGCAGTTTAAGAGCATAAAGCTAAAAAAGGCCAGCACTGTTACCCCGCAGGAAGCTCTTCAGATGTGGTTCTTGATACATACAGATGCAAACAGTTACGACACTGTGATGTAAAGACGCGTCACTGTGTCGAAATAAAAATAATCACGCGACTATAAGAATTAGAGTGTGTGCTTTTGAAACAGCACAGCCTGGACGAGTGTCCTGTAGCTAAAAATAGCTGTATGTAAATTGGTGGAGTCAGTATATTTATTTACATAATAGTTGTCATTTGACACTCCTGATCTGCACTCCAGTCCAGTAAACTGCAGCAGTTTTCCATTCATACCAGATCATGATGTAGATGTTTCCTCTTTTTCCCTAATTAACCAATCAGATGTGGGAGGGTCGGTGGCGCGTCATTCCTCACGATGTACTCCCCGATTGGCTGAAGGACAACGACTTCCTGCTTCACGGCCACAGGCCTCCCATGCCTTCGTTTCGCGCCTGCTTCAAGAGCATCTTTAGAATCCACACAGAGACGGGAAACATCTGGACACACCTGCTAGGTAAGACACACACACACACATGCGCACACACTGAGAGTTTTCTAAAACTCAATTCTTTTGTGCATCTTTAACTTTCTGTATTCTTCATTTTAACCTTTAATCCCAATCTTAAATTGTCTCTGCAAAAATGTTGAGGCATGATGAGATGGCAGATGTACTGGAGCACACACGCACACACATGCACAGACGCACACATGCACACACACCACGAGAACAGGATTAGGGTTAACGGCTGGGAATTACAGGAGTGGGATTGTTTTTTCCTGTGTGTATTTCTGAAATGTATTACTCCACTCCTTATTTTATTCTTCAGCTAATCTGCATATTTATCCAGACTTCATTAGGTAACAGAGAACCTTGTGCAAACCGGCTAACTTGTTACGTTGCATAAAAACGTGTGTGTCGAAAGCCAAGCGGCTGCCGTCAGTAGATGGGTCCAAGAAATCCAGTGTGTTATTTTTCTGCTTGAGTGGAAGAGTTGTAGTTGATCCCAGGTTTTTAAAACTCTTTATTTTATCCTTCCTTCTACACCTCTATAAACAAGTTTTGTTCTTCTCTCTGCTGCCACCTTGTGGCGTGTGAGAGTGTGCACCTCGGCGTCATTGTAGTGGAGAAATTGTGAGTCCTGATACTTTTTCATTTTAATATCACTGATATCCATCTTACCCTGTCATCTCATCTCTCTGCAGGCTGTTTGTTTTTCCTCTGTCTGGGCCTGATGTACATGTTCAGACCCAACATGTCTTTTGTGGCTCCGGTCCAAGAGAAGGTGGTGATCGGGATGTTTTTCCTGGGAGCCATCCTCTGCCTTTCATTCTCCTGGCTCTTCCACACAGTCTACTGCCACTCTGAGGGCGTGTCCAGAGTCTTCTCCAAGTAAGAAATGTCTCAGTCTTCATGCTGTATTGGGGACGTCTTTTCTTCAGCAGTAAGCTCACGATGTTATTGTGTCTCCAGGTTGGACTACAGTGGGATCGCCTTCCTGATCATGGGCTCCTTCGTCCCCTGGTTGTATTATTCCTTCTACTGCTCCCCTCAGCCCTGCTTCATCTACCTGATAGTGGTCTGTGTACTAGGACTGGCTGCCATCACCGTATCACAGTGCGACTTCTTTGCCACTCCGCAGTACAGAGGAGTCAGAGCAGGTAGATTGGGATAAGTGAGGATGGGTTGGGTTTGTGGTCATGTGGCTTCAGGCCTGTTATTTACAATAGAGGACATCATATTTGGTCCATAAACTGCATATTTCGCTGCTAAGGTGTGGCACTAAGTTTTGGCTCAACGTAGCTCTGATTGATTTGGTGTAAAAATATTTAAAAATATATAAAAGCATTTTAATTTAAAATAAGGGGCAGCTGGAGTCTATGGCAGCTGTTGTAGCTAAGGAAGCTGGATTACCCATAGAGATCAAACTCAACACCGGTTAAAATCTTTTCAGTAAAAAAATTAAGATTGGTGTTACTTGCTTGGTTGTCTAATCTAATAATCCATGAGTCAAAAAATCTGTTATTACAGGTTTAAGTTGGTTGACAGTCGATGTTCTTAAAGCGGCCCTTGCTATATCTGCTCACTTGTGTATTCACTTTGTGTCCATTCTTTGTTCAGGCGTGTTTGTGGGCCTTGGTCTGAGTGGCGTGGTTCCCACCCTGCACTTTGTCATCAGTGAGGGTCTGATCAAGGCGACCACCATTGGCCAGATGGGCTGGCTGTTCCTCATGGCCACGCTCTACATCACCGGAGCCTGTCTGTACGCCGCCCGAATCCCCGAGAGGTTCTTCCCCGGCAAGTGTGACATCTGGGTGAGTGTCTGCCGCCGGTAAGGAAACATGCTTGGATTAGAAACTCTTCACCGTGATTCTTATGTCCTGCTGTTCCCTCCGCAGTTTCACTCCCATCAGTTGTTCCACATCTTGGTGGTCGCCGGGGCTTTCGTTCACTTCCACGGCGTCTCCAACCTGCAGGAGTTTCGCTTCACGGCAGGAGGAGGCTGCACTGAGGATGGCAATCTCTAACACACATACAAACATACACTGACCCTTTCATCATTTACTGACACAGTGAAAACTGTGTCAGGCACTGGTTCTTACATCCACAGATATACACGAACAGACACATACACACTCACTTCACCCCCAAACTGAAGACCGAAGTGGCTTGTCCTTCTCATAGGACGCGATTAAATCCAACTCTGTCTGCCTGTCTGTCCCCATTTCCTCTGGCTCCGTTTGCTTTGACTATAAAACCACTTCTGTGACAGCGTGTTTTATAAAAGCAGTTTCTGAGACTCTTTCCAGGAAGTAATCCTTTTGTCCGGGAGGATACCAGACATTCAAACCTCCCTACGCTCTCTTCTTGGATTAATGGTTTGGTTTCCAGCAGAAGCGTGATTCATGCTTTAAAAAGGAAAAAAAACCAAACTTTTTTTTTTGTTTTTGTTTTTTTTACTACTTTTTTTTCTTTTTTGCTGAATGCTGTTTTCCAAGTTGCCTCTTTAGAGGATGCAAACAAATGAAAGTATGGGGGGGGGGGAGAATTGAGTGCAAAATTGATTCTTTCTCTCATTGTGAAGCTTTGCAAATGCGGACAAAAGGGTTAATAGTCACTTTTAAAATTTAAAAAACAACAAAAACCAAACAAAAATAACAACTTTTCCATGTAAATAAGATTTCTAAACTTTGGGTTATAGATTTGTAAGAAATATATATTTAAAAAATGACAAAAAATGATGGCAAGAATAAATATGATAGATGGGTAAACCAATTAGAGCCGAGGGGGAGAGGTGTCAATTCTACACTTGTTCCAGTGTTCGGTGGGAGGCGCTTCAAGTAACTTTTTTTTGTGTAAGGACACGAGGTGGGGGAGGTTTTAGAGAAAATTTATTGGCACAACGTCCAAATCCTATCAAAACATAGTACGCCGTCTCCAGTGGCGACACGGGAGTCACTTACAGGCGTGAAGACCTTACAAACGGCGAGCAACGCAGATTTCGTCTTAACATCAAAAACTATGATTATATATTTATGAGTTATCTAAATATGTAGCATCTTCTTTCTCTGATTGAATTCAACCTAAAGCTTATTTTTGCTCCACCACTATATGTTTATTTTTTCTAATATTTCCTTAAATGATTTATTAAAACGCATAAATGATACTTTTCACAATATTTTTGTAAACACGGCCCCAGAATTAGGTAAAACTGGAATCATTAGTTTCTGCTCCTCCTACATCATTCTTGATGAGATTCATGTCCACAGACCACAAGTATTTAAAACTAAAATGAAAACAATTTTCTTTCTTTGTTTTCTTTTTTTTTTGGATTGCATTTTCATTTGTTCACTGCTGTTATTGCATTTCAAGCTTTAATTTTACGTGTTTCTTTTCTTTCGTTTGCTTCGTTGTTTCGTTTCGTTTGGCGAGGGCCAAAACGTTCCTCCCTCCAAACGTTCCGACTTAAAGGGCTCATGATTAATTAACACGAGATGAACTTTCAAGTTTATACCAAAATCTTACAACTTGCACAATAAAACACTTCTGAGCTTGTGTTTCTGGGGATGTGTAAACTTTTTAGGTGTGCAAGTAAAATGAAAGTTGATCGATCGTCTTTGCATCGCAAGAAGAATTTTTTGTTTTCATCTCCATTTTTTTTCTGTTTCTTTTTTCTTTTCTCTAGTTTATATTAAATTATTTCTCTCGGGGAGGGCATACTGTCTGAAGCACACAGTTCGCTCTGGTGGTGTTTGATTGCAATAGACCTTTATATCTGCTGTATTGTTCTAATAAAAAGGTTTTTGAAGCAGTCACTTTGTTTTGGAAGTGTTATTATATACACAAGACTGAGATTGCATCACATAACACTTTACTTAAGCCGCAGCTGAGTTCCAAGTTTTAAAATATTAGGTTGTAGATGATTTACAATCCTTCTTCTACCCACACTTGGGTGTAGGGTATGAAAGATTCCATACATGTCAATACAAAGTAACTGCTCATGTAACCCTCTGCTCTGGGGTTCAACAACGTCCTATCACCTGATGCAGGCTTTGCTGACACCTTACTGGATAGAGATGCCAGCATGTGGGAATTGAACTTGAGACACCGTCTCCAGAGGCGTGTAATCTTACCACTATACTATCCAGCTTGCTCAGACAGAAAACCTGCAGTTGCAAATCTTTTCTTATTGATAATTTTCCTTATTTTTTTAAATTTAATGTGTGTTTAAAATGTGTTTTAAGTATAAAAGTGCAAAAGTCTTGATGGATCCATCATTTCTCTATATTTTGTTAGGAAAATATGAAATGGGTGCTGTGATTTCTTGAAATGTGCACACATACATGGCAATATTAAGGCAAAAATGGAATTGACAAGCTTGAAGATGAGCACCTTTATTCTTCAACACCGTCTGAACTCTTAGGCAGTTTCTTTTCCTTGTAATCTCTTTAAGAGTCTGGAAACATTCAGAGATGACTGATCTGTTGATTGATTAGATATTTTTGCCGTAAGAAGCAGTTGATCAAGTGCAACTATAAATATTTAAACAACTGAAGGAAAAGGATAACACAAACAGTTAAACAACAAAAGAATAAAGGATTTAACGTCCATTTTTTTAAATTATTCATATAAAAACAGATCTTATTGAAAGACCAGTTCACAAGAAAAAACAGTAAATATTTAGACTTTTGGAAAACAGCATCATAACACAGTCCTTTCCTCAGATTCACTCTCATATACGTGATTCAAAAGTCTCGTTGCTAAAAAAAAAACAAAAACAGTCGAGCATGCCTTTTCTAAAGAGGTGAGGAACAAACATCCTGTACAAATAAATGATGAAAGAACAAAAAGGAAATATTCTTAAAACCAGAACGCTATAAATACATTCTTTAACCAGAAGAGACAAACAAATACAGTTAAATGAAAAGCACTTTGGTCTTCCTCCTCAAACACTCTGAAGATGATTATGCTCGCATTTTTATGAATGAAGCTTGCTCCAGTGAACCGAGGCAACCATTTGTTTCTTTTCCGTGGGCATCATTACTTCACGTACCGTTTCGGATTTAATTCACACAAATCATCAGTACACACACTGAACTAGCATTCGCTATAACACCAGACACACACAAACTGTATCACACAGAGTGATGTAAAAAATATTGTTGATACAAAGTAACTTTTCTTCCATTGAGAACGTGTTTCTAAAGTGCATGTCTTTGTTCACACACAAGAAAGACTTCACTGAAGCATCGTGCACACCAACGTCTAAAGGAGCTCCGAGCGTTCAACAGCATTTTATGTGAAGTCCAGTCAGTTTATAAAATATCTGAGTTGATTGTGATCACCTTTATTTAGGGTTCAGTTTTATTATCTGAATGAACTTCTAATTGAGATTTGACCTGGTGGAGTGAAGGGAGAGGCAGAGATCTCCAGTACGAGTTTCCGTTTCATTTATCCAACATTTTGCTTTTTGGGGATTGTCTTCTTCATGCTAGGACAGCTGAAACAGTTTGATCTGGGACTGGGAGTCGATAATGAAACCATCTGCTATGCAGGTGCGCTGCTTAACGAGCTGTTGGACACATTACATTTTGGCAACCTATTTTTATGCTGTTATATGAAGTATCCAGAGAAGTTGCAGTTATCAGTTCACATTTTAACATTAAAACTTCAGTTTGAGATTTACCAAAAATCTTTGTCGGTCCAGTCATCTGTGTATTTAAAGGGCATCCACACAGGAAGCAGCTAGTGGTGGGGCCCAAGGTAAGCTTTCCTCAACTTAGAGATGAATTGATGCAGCTACTGGCTGTTGTTAATCGACACGTTAGCGGGTTGAAGATACATTAGAGCAGATGTGGGCATTATCTGACCATTGGTGGCCCATGATAATTAAAAATTTTTTTTACTCATGTGTGTGCAACTAAATACAGTGGTAATAAAATTATGTTTTAAGAGATGTGGCTGTTTATCATTGTCTAAATATGAACTTAAGTCAGAAGTAAAGCTGTGTGGTCATTTGGTATGTTTGAATCGCTATTACAAGACTAATCATAAAGAGAAATACAAGAACTTGACTTTTTACAAATCGACACATCCAGGGAGAGAGCAGTCAAGACCAGCGTTGCGATTTTGTGAGATATCGCCCAAAAAAAGTAAACAATAAGAGTCAATGTTTGGTGGAGAATGTGCCCCTCTCTAGCTGAACCGTAATAAGATATGACTGAAATGAACCCAGACCTGAAAGTGGTATTTCTGTCAGAGTTAATTTTCGTTGATGTTGCAACTAAAATGGTTTGTTCTACTTTCAGAGGACATAGCTACCACACAGCTGCCAGGTGGCTCAGTCTGGGCAAAGTGTTAAAATAAATATCAGATACTGAATCTGACTTTAATGCACTTGTTTAGGCCCAAAACCGACTGGATCTCTCTCACTGAACAAGAAACAAGAACTGAAAAGCTCCATTAATTAAACTACCAGCAAAGTAGCAGTAGCACTTTGTATAACTTTAGACTTATTTTCAGTTTTGGGGAATGTTGAAATCAAACAACAATAAAATGTTGGCCTTTCTACTATCCCCACTTCACATTTTTATTGCCTAACTGTAACATCTACTCTTATCAGTTGCAGCTTAAAGAGAGAAAATACTGAGCAGACTTGAGTTCAGCTTATTGGTGCAGCCCTCCACGACAGTGTTTCTCATGCGGCCCTTTGGGAAATAAAGCACACGTGGCTTTGCATGTGTTCTGAACAAAGAAAGCCGACGGGTGACACCGTCGAGCCGTTTGAAACCAGTTTACCTGCAAATTTAACGGACACAGTAGATGCTGTGTCAGCTCTCTGAGGGAAGTGTTACCATCTACTCGCGTATTGCTGGAAATGCTCCTGAAACCACTGATGAGGCTCGTAATATTAAACTGGAGCAAAAATTGAAAGGTCTTGCTTCAGGTCACGCCGTCTAATAGTGAAGAATAACTGTAGACATGTTCAGTCTTCTTTCTGTTCACACGTCTGCGGCCGTGTCGCTTTTCTCCCTTTTGGTTTTGGTAAATGTCATCTGCTCTCTAGTTTTGTTTTGCTTTTAAATACCTGGAGAATGGAACTGTTAACTTCCCTTAAGAGATATTTGCATGTGGCCTCAGTGTGAACAGGTGCAAGACACCAGCAATGTTTTTAACCCAACCAGTTAGCAGCTTGATCTAAAGGTGTCCGTGTGGAGCATTTATCTATCTTAAAGAGCATGTTACACCTTCAGTATTTGTTTGTAATAAAATTAAAAAATGTTTGACGAACTCAGTTTGTTTGAATAAAACCACTGGACTAACGTTTGCTTTTTTAAAATCTGTTTTGTTTTGAAACTCAACATATAAATAACATTCAGTTTAAGCAAAAAAAAAAAAGAAAAAAAAAGGGAAAAAATACAATAAAATATTTTTGCCTGCAAATGAGTTAAAATGAAAAGCTGCAGATCGAGCTGAGAACCTCAACCATCACTTAATAATAATTTATGTTCACACAGCGTTCCCCCTACCAACAACTGGGGGGGGGGCAAGAGGAAAAAAAATGTGGGGGAGGGGGAAATAAGCACACTACTGTGTTTTTGTTTGTTTGTGAAGATAACGTTACTCCTGTTGAAGCCAACTTCATGTGTGTAAATGCAAAAAGCATCCCAACAAGTCTTGATCCGTCTAAAACGACAGGGGAGATTTGCTTTAGAGCAGGGGGGAGGAAAAAACAAACAAGCGAGAAGTCTCCCCTCCAAAGCAGTAACCTAGGGGAAACACTCATAACACTTTTGTTGACAGGTAAAAACCGAACTTTGTGTCACAAAACACAAAAACATGAAAGAAACTAGAATTCAAATAAAGCCTAGGTATAAACACTGAATGGGTAAATAAATAGTCTGTGAATTGCACAAAGTGGAAACGTTGAAGGTCAAAGCACTCTGATATGTCGAGGCTGAGGCTCGGTCTCTCGGTGGGTCGGGCCAGTCGGACGAGCGTTCAGCCAGTCAGTGAGAGTGAAGTGTTGACGCCGTTTCTCAGTCCACTGTCATGATTTGATCTTCCACAGCTGTGAACGGGAACAAACGAACACACGTCAGACACTCGAATCGGAGAATTCAGCCAATGAGCAGCTACAGTTTAACAACAAAACGCAGGAAAGGTATCAAAGGTAAGATCAACAGTGCTGCAGGAGGAGCCAGATTAGGTGTCAGCTTATTAGCTTTCTTCTAATTTCTTTAATAAGCGGTGTCCAGGAATAGTTCTCCATGTTTCTCGAAGGACATTCGAAGCTCTTCTTTGGATGTTGACAGCATTTTGTTTTGTTCTCTGTCAAGTTGGGCTCATATCAAACTGTTATCTTTATCATTTTTGTAGATTCAGCTAAAGTGTTTTGCCAACATGGCGAAACACTTTTGCACAGTACTGTACGCCCTGCTAATACTGAGCTGGACCTTTTCTGTTGAAGGAAAACATTTTGCAAAAGAAACCTGGATCAGCTGTGTCTCACTAGTATCACAGGAGGCTGTGAAGTTACAGCAGTGAAAAATGCAAAATTGCATGATCACAGGAACTTTTCGTGCATTCAGCTGGCCATGCACATGTTTTCATGCCTAATCGTAATCTGCAACCACAGCTAATATATAACACAGAATAGAAAAGAGTAATTTTTGCTTTAATTTGGGTAGGAGCTAACATGATTTCAACATCTCTGTCATTAGGTTTTGAGACACGGTCAGTCCTGAATGCACCAGTGTTTAAATCCATCAGCTCTAATATGCTAGAATATGTGACAGACAAATGGCAGCACTAAGAGCCACTGAAAAAACAAATATTAAGTTATGAATTCACATTTTCTACAACACAGATCTCTTATTTGCAGCATCATTGGCTTTTACAATTAGAATTTTTATAGCCTGTCTTTTGTGAATATCTGTCACCTGTTTCTGTGATAATATCTCGAAAGTAGACAGCAATTAATCCATTTTTGTGAGGAAGACGAGTGAAATCACACTCCAAGCACCCCCTGTTACACGAGCTCGTCCTGAGCTGCCTCAATCAGAAACGCTGCTGTGACACCCGTCATCTCTGCCTGGATTTCAGGTTTTTGTTGAACCAGCTAATGCAAAGAAAGCCCGTCTACAACTGCCTTTGATTTTAAATTAGTGCTCATCTGCTCCCTCATAGGTCAGAATTCAGCACACGTAATTCTCCATCACAAACTCATCTTTCAGGGATTTGATTTACACTGCAAGATTATGACACGTTTTAACCCAACAAATTCTGGAAATTCATTTTTGGTGCTAAAAAAGGATTTTCAGTCCACATTGTCTGTTTTGCACCTTTACTGTTTTACTTCCTCAAAGGACAGAGGGGTTTTTTTGGGGGGGGGGGGGGGGGGGGGGGTTCTCCACCACAGGACAGACGTGAACAGATACATGTGACTAAAGAGCATTTACACATAAAATTACCTTCAGGTTAAATCCTAACAGGTCAGATATGACTCCCGACACAGCAGACAGGATGACCACCTGGGTGATGTTGTAGAGCAGAGGGTTCATCGTCAAACCGTACAACCTGAACGGAGTATCCAACTCCTGGAGAAAAGGAAAAGAAGAAAAAAAGAGTCAGATTGTAAAAGCAGGGGCAGTTGGTGCCAGATGACCAACAAGAAAGGATATTGAGACTGTGTGTGTACCTTGAGTAGTTTGGTTGCCAGTTTTAAAACATTGTTGACCAGTGTCAGCTCCTCCTTCTTGTTTGGCTTCTTCTCCATCTTCAGATACAGGTTAATCTGTGAGAAATGCAGTGGATCAGGGTCAGAGTTTGGACACGACACTGATCATACTTGTATATTGTGTGTGTGTGTGTCTGGTGGTTGTGTGTGTGTGTTTGTGTGTGTGTGTGTGTATATTGTGTGTGTGTGTGTGTGTGTGTGTACCTGTTCAGTGAGCAGGATGGAGGTGTTGCTATACTTCTTGCTGGTCTCCGAGCCCAGAGTGACGAAGCGGAGCAGGAACAGAGTCAGACTGGAGCACCAGATCACCAGCTCCCAGTTATAGTGACAGTCCAGGAACGTTTCATGGACATGGAGCAACTGGAGGAAGAGAGATAAACACACTGTTCAGTGTTTATCTCAAAAATAAAACACAGACTTTCTGATACTGTAATTACATTTTTTTTAATGTATATGAAACGCCACATTTGTAACAAGCTGCAGTGTCTTTCAACTCATTTCCCCTTTTTTTACAGCACAAGTACTGTAAATGTCCCAAAATAATTATTCTGAAGGTCGATGCATTCACATATTTGCTCTTTATCAGTTTTACAGATCAGTTTTACTTGAGCTGACTGTCCTGCTAATTGTATGACTGACCCCTGGTGGCAGAAACTGTGCAACACATGTAAGACTCGTCTGCATCATGTGCAGGTTTAGGCTCTGCAGCCAATAAAAACTTGTTTTACTGGCTAATGTGGAAAAAGCTGTTATGTAACATCTTGAGGCCTCACAGCTTTTCAGGTAAAGATAAAATCTTTTTGATTACAACATCTTTAAAGTGACTATAACGGGCACAGCCAGATTACCCTGCAGTGCTATCTGCTTGATCACTTTTATAAACAGAGCTGATGATGTCAAACACTCCTTCAGTTCCTAAGTGCAAACAAGCATGGCGGCGCCACTGAAAGTTAAAACACTAATTCTTTCAGTGCCAAAAAACAAACAAACAGTGAAAAGTAAAATAGCAGCAAAGTTTAGTGGGTTAGTGAAACTGGGCTACATGATATATACTGATGAGCTACCTGGTGGGTAGCTATAGTGTGATTAGGCTTATGCAGGCTGTTTTTTCCCCGGAAGTTCACATGAGGGTCCAGACTTCCCATGGACGAGAGGATTCTACACTTTGAATAGCAAGAATTGATGGTGCATAGTAGTTGCAAGCTGCTTTGATGAGACATATAGTCTCAGTCTCAGGAAGTGTGCTTCAGGTTACGCTGTAGAGCTGCAGGGGGGTTTGTGATTACGACGTAGCTACAGTGCAGGTGTCCTGCTGAAGCATAAATTCCTAGTTAGAAGGGATTTTTTTTCCCTTGAAGTGTTGAAATAATTAGTACCCAGGTCACTGTGAGTCCATGAGCTGTAGTTTAGAGTTTGTTTTTTTTTAAAAAAGTAGATTAAAGACAACTAACCGAAGAATGACAATTTAATATACTCTGAGAACCGTGTAGAGGAATCTTCCCATTGAACTTTTTGTGATTTCCTGCCTCTTTGGAGCAAAAAGAGCCCATACAAACACATGAGATATCAGTGAAAAGCCCACGATGTTCTCTATTTAGTACATCAGGACTTGGTCAAAAGATAGACAGGGGTGCACATAAGTGGTCTGCAGGTGCACATTCGCTGTCAAAATAAAAGATGTGCACCAGATAAGAAGTTGCAACGCGCGTTTGCGTACATACGATTTTCTGAAGGAGGACAGACATTTGTTTAGAACTCTTAAAGATGTCGAAGAAGCAAGCTCCTTTAAGCAATTACTTTGGTGTTCCTCCACCTCCAAAGAAATGTCAGAAGGAGTCCAAACCTCAAAAGAAGCACGTATTCTCAGAAAAGTGGTTTCAGGAGGTGAGCTGGCTGCAAACAAATGATGAACGCACAGAGATGTGGCGCAGAATGTGCCGTGAAAATCCCACTCTAGCTGACAAAAACACTGCCTTTTATATGTACGCAAACGCGCGTTGCAACTTCTTATCTGGTGCGCGTCTTTTATTTTGACAGCGAATGCACACCTGTGGACCACTTATGTGCACCCCTGGATATAGACCAAAAATGTCCATCACAGAGGACATAAATGAATCGGCTGGTTCTCATTTTAGGGGACTTGAGTATTTAAAAAAAACATAAACAAAAAAAAACCTGCAGAAAGTTGAAAGGGCAAGAGCAACACTTTTTGTAACATTTCTCTCCATGATTTATCCACTTTGTAACTAAAAACAAAAACTTGTATATTTTGCTGATTTGACACCTTCAGAAGTTACCTGAGCACAGCAGATGAAGACGACTGACAACGTGAGCAGGAAAGCAGACGATACAATGACATCCACCGAACGCTGAGGACCCCGTCTCTGCAAATGCAACAGTTTCTCCATTTGTGTCTTTACTTAACATTTAATTTTTTCTAGTTGTACATTTAAGACTTTTACTTTTGTACCTTGAGGTAGGAGCGTAGCGACAGCCACATCTTGATGTTCTGAACTTTCTTCAGCCTAAAATGTGGGACCTCAGACTTCCTCGCTCTGCGGGCCGAAGTCAGGTGACCAAAAAGTTTGGCAAACAGAAGTCTCTGAAACATCGACGTGATTGTAAGTACAGGGACCATTTATCCGACTTGCAAACGATCAGCAGACAACAGCTTTTATCTGTGCACCTGTTTGTATGTCCTCTCTGCTACGCTGAGCAGGAAGAAGAAGAGCCAGATAAGGCAAACGCGCACCAGGAAGCTGAGCGTCACCATGGTGATTACCAGGACATCTGAACCAGACCCACACCCCAGCGCCACAGACAGAAGCTCATTGGCTGAGAGAGTGGTCAACTGATCCAAGTCACGGTACTGAGCCAGTCTGCATAGGAAAGAAGGATGTAGGTCGGAAAATAATAAATCCACACATTTAAATTCTTAAGTTACTATATTTTTAAAAATGACACCTTGCCAAACTGTTTCAGATACATGTAACAATATTAAACACACAGGCATTAACATGATCATTCAAACTGAATTTTAACTTCTAAAAACGCAGTTAAAAAAATTAAAACTGCTATTATGACGAGTAAACAGTTTTGCATAATCACGGTTAGAATTACTACCTGTGGAAATCACCACATAGGTAGGCGAGTTGGCGTTCTCAAATAAAATTATTCACAGATATGTTCTGGATATTTACTTTTGTCCTGGTCAAAACATCCATAACAGCTGATTGTCACTGTTCAAAAGACTTCAGTTGGATCACTATTCAAATACTGACCACACGTGTAGTATGGATTACCTGTAAGCAAAGGGTGTGAGCCCAAGCGCTACTGAAACTAGGTTCCCAAAGACCTGGTAACCGATTCCAGGAGTGTAAAGATTCACCTGTGAAAACATACAAACTACATGAGTACGGTGCCCTCGTTAGTGTTTTTTGCTTGTATGGAAAGCGTCACTCACTCTGTTCATGATCATGCCGCTGATCTCCAGGACAGACATGTCTGCTTTCTTGCACTCGTTTCCCTCCCACACGATGGCGCTCACCCTTTCCAGGCCTGGGTTGGAGCTGTGCAGCCAGGGAAGGTGACCCTGCAGGGAAACCAAACACCATTAAATACTGACACCTCTCGTCACGGCAACTACTACTACTACTTCAGATCATCCCACCCCATCCCCATTATCCTCCTCTGTATGTCCTCTTCCACTATGTCCACAAAGCTTCTCTTTCTCTATCCCTTCTGTGTGACAGCTCCATATTCGACATCCTTTCTCCAATATATCCACTCTCTCTCTCCTCTTCGCATCTCTCTCATATAATCCTGTATAATCGTACTCAGGTCTCACTACCACCTTGTAAACCTTCCCCTTCACTCTTGCTGCCATCCTTTTGTCAGAAATCACCCCTGACACTCGTCTCCACCCATCGTCTTCTCTTTTGTGCACCGTCCAATGTTTTGGATGATTGACTCTAGTTGTTTCTACCTTCACCTTCTCTACTCTATTTAGTGAAACTTCGCTGCTTTATTACTGCTAAAAGTGGAGGTAAAAGTAGGGTGACCAAAATTCCTGTCATCCTAGTGACATATGTGACGTTTCCTCCCATGAATTTGTCATAACTGTTATGCACGTCGTGGCTCACTGTTTTCTTCTAATTGTGATATTGTAATGATTTGGTCTAAAGAATAGCAAACAGACAGAGTAGCAAGATTCCTCTATTCCTGTGTGAAATACAATAGAGTATGAATAACCTCCCTCAGTCATTGAAAAAGTTTGGTTACTCAAGTTTTAAGTACTTTAATCCACAAATCCTCAAACTCCAAGTGTGAGAGCATTTACAGACCTGATGGAAAGGGTCGTCTCTGTACTCCTTCTTGGCCGGACACACAGGCGTTCCTCCTCCTTCTCCCTCTGTGAGGAAGAGCAGCGATAGTGCTTATTTACACGCAGTCATCGGAAGGTATGCCAGGGTTCATATGCATTTTTCAGAGTCAACTTCAAGCACTCTTTAAGCACTTTCAAGCTTTTCCAGCACATTACCAAAAAAATCCCAAAACCATCCCCTCAGTAAGACCATGTAAAAATTAAAACAAATCATCTCAGGTCGACCTAAATGTCCTTTGTTCCCCTTTTGTTAAAACAGAGAAACACTGAAAAAGGAAATGGTTGCCTTATATGGATATAGTGTACAAACTCAAAAAACACATTTCTCTTAAAAATTAAGATGTGCAAATGTGAACAAATCAACTTGTTAGAGACATTCATCTCCACTGTGAAAAAAATAAACCAACAACTCCACAAAACAAGAAAACTTCACCAAACGCCACAATAACACACAGCAAGGCCAAATTAAGTTTTTTCATCAGATATTGATGATTCTTTCCTGTGTGACACAAAAATAGGAGACAGATGTTTGTTTGTTTTTAACTAGTTAAACACCCACGCCCAGAAAAATGGGGGCTAAATGGAGGAGATCACGTTTAATCGGTTCCTAAATATAAGTGCCGACATGAGTAGTGTCACAGGTAATATCCATATTTTGTTATAGGATTTAAATATGAACCAAAGCAGATTTTATGCTATAAAATACTTTAAAAAATTAGGTGAAGGAAATAAAAAAATCAAATGTTTCTATGTTTGAGTCACAGTAACTTGGACATAGTAACATCTGCAGTAATATTTACACCTCTGATGACATCTCACAAGTGTTAGCTGTATTTTGTTACCAAGACTGTTCACACACAGTTTGTAGTGGGAGAGAAATGCTCCATTTATTTTGGTCATTTCATCTTCAAGCAGAAAGCTCAGAAAACACCCGCCTGAGGATCTAACAGCTTAAAGTTAATATTAAAACTCGAGATTTTTCAAGCACCCGTATGAACCCTGGTATGCGTCTGAGTTTAAATGACTTTAGTACCCAGCAGATGATTTCTACATCTTCCTCTCACCTGTCTCTGACGTGCAGGACGATCGGCACTCAGTGCAGTGCAGGAAGTCCTCCCACATCAGGTCCTCGGTCTCAGACTCGTGTCGAGTACTCTCTGAATCCTGAGTCCTCAGACTTGAACATCTGGAGCTGCAGCTGGTACCAGACTTTGGGACATCCTGACAGAAAGGAGAAAATGACTGTCATTTGTTTGAATTTGTCCAGTATAAATGAATGAATGAGCTTCCTGCGAAGGAGTTAATGTGTCCATGCTAACCTCCACAGTGTAGTGTTTCTTATAGTGGTGCGTATTCTTGCGATTTCGGAGTGCACAGTCACTGTTCATTCTTTCCACTCCCCTGCGGAGGGCGCTGTAGGACGCTTCAGGGTCCTCCTCACTGGAAGCCTCATCTGACGCCGGCTCCTTAAAAACAAAGTGACATGAGAGTCAAATCCAGGACAATATTAGGGTTAAAATATTGAAATAATGAACAATGATAGGTTACCTTATTACCACCGGCCAGCAGCAGTCCATTGTTGCGGGCAGCGTGACCGTGTGCAGGCTGTGTGTGCGGGTTCCAACACACCTCGTCAGCCCTATTTAACAAATCGCATCGCTGCTCGTGGAGCTGGAGCCCCTCCTCGCTACTGCGATTGGTCACGCGGCCATCCAGCGACACGTAGCCGTTGTCCGTTTCTGTGGATTTATCGATGGAAAGCTTGGACTTCTTGGACCTTTGGTAGGAAGCAAAGGAGAGGAAGAACAGAAAGAAAACCAGACCGGAGGTCGATGGGGGGGAGGAAAGTGCAGAAACAGACATATTTAGATAAGCAGAGAAGTGGCAGGGCTGTGATTATCTTAAACTAGTAAATAATTACAGTTAGAAAATTAGACATGCAATAGCAAACTCACAACAGGATGCATTCAACACAGTAATGTGGAACATTCACACAAAATAAACGCTTGTAATGGCAGCTAAGTCGACATCGAGTAAGATACCTGCATTTTAAAATACAGTGTTTTATCTGTAGTACAATTGGTGATACTGCTTTCTGATACTTTCTAAAACTATTTTTGGAATAAAAGAGCCTGAATCAGATAAAAGAAAGTGTTTTGGAGCTAAAGTGAGTGTGGCAGATAATCAGTGGATGGATTTCCCAAATAAAGAGCTACTTGGATCTCAAAAAGGTTCCACACTGTTGCGGTCTGCTGAAAGCTTGTTCAAGTAGAAGCATGGGGGTTAGGGCTTTACTCACCACAGACATGCACGCCTCTTGCCCCAGTGCTTCTTTTAAACATAGCTTTATCAGCAAATTACTGGCATAAAATTTAGCTGCAAAATCCACCTGCACCTCATTAATGAGGGAAAGATTTGGCACTACAGGAAGCAGAATTTACGCAGGCGTTAAACTGCAGAACTGACTTTACATTTCAGCACCAAGCTTGCCTGTTTAGTTGACCAATGAGGGGGACGGTGTTCTCCATCCCTTCCTAAATAAACGTTAGGTTATGATGTTGCAGCTAAAGAAGCCCAGGTTAGGCTCTGAGGCAAGGCTGGGTTTTTGTTTTCAAAAAACCCAACGTTTGAAATTCAGAGATCTCTTTGCAAATTAATGGATTCAAACTGTAGCCCAGCCCTGCCTATGTTCATCATCTCATTGTAGGAAGATGGAAAATGAAAATACACACCCAGCTTTACAGATATCATGCCAGAAATCTTGGAAGAAAGCGCCCAGGCTGTATGTGGTGCTGGCTGAGTGGGAGTGTGGCGCCCCCTCCTGTGTGTTATCGGTAGTGCTAGACCCGTCGCCTTCCCTATGCACCTCCATCTGAGATGCCTTCCTCAACTTCCTTCGGTTTGGAAAAAAGTGGAGAGACACTTAGAGCGGACCTGGAGACTCCTGACACCACAGCCGTGTGTCCACCGGGAGTCTGGCTGCACCTTCATCGTAACACTGATGATACGGTTCAACTAACACAGGAAGCTAAACTCAAAAAAGGTGCTGTGACTCAGCCGGCACCCGCTGGACACACAGGCTGAAACAGATCAAAGGCAAATTCTCCCAAAATCATCATCTAGGCTGTTACTCTGCAAAAGTAGATTCATGAAATAATACAACCTAAAATTTAAATATAATAGCATCAAAACAAAAAGATGATAAAATAGGGATTTAGGATGCTTCCAGTTTCACTGGTGTTCTTTGGGTTGTGAATGTGATAAACTGAAATTCTGTGTTTATTTTTGCAGGACATTAACATAAAAAATTATTATCAAGAACTTGATTATCATTATTTTAATATAGGACACACAGGAGAGGTGCAGGACAGAGCTTCTTCTCAAAATTTAAAAGCAAAGAGTTCATTATGATGATCACTGGGTTAAAAAAAAAAAAAAGTTAATTTAAATATTTTGCTGCTGTCAATTGATATGACGACATGTCTCCAAAGGTAGGATAAAGAAAAGAGAGAAAGGTCACAACAAACTCCTCTTTGATCAAATGTGATTGTTTTCTGTCGCCTGAAAATCACAAGAAGTACAAAGATTGATTCAGTATTGAGGCACACTATTTTTGTATCCCCAGAAAACCTTTCCAAAACAGTGGCATGGTCCAATTTTCTTCCCAGGAGTTTGAAAATTGTCTTTACGTTACTGTGAGCCAGAAAAGCAGCCACACACCAAAAAGCCTTGAACCAAAAAAAAAAAAACAAAAAACAAAACACAAAGGGAAACTCACAGACTGCAAATCTAAACACTACAAAACACAGCAGCAATAAGCAAACTACTCTACTTTCTCACACACACACACAGAGCTCATTTCATCTTTAAGAAGTGACAGCACATTCATCCAGGGTGTGTTTTAGTACAGATTTGAGTGTTTTACGCTTTACATTAACTGAGGTCAGATACACCCCAGCAACAAAAGAGGTTTTCATTCATTTTTCTTTCCATCACTCTTTTGGTATCTCGTGGTTTGTATATCAACTAAATACTGCCTTTGTTATTTCACATCTTCCTCTTTATCTCTTCCTGACTCTCTCTTTTGTCCCTGAAGGGTTTTATCTCATGTGATGCCTTCACCTCCTCCCCATCTAGTCTTCCTAAAAGCTTTCACTCAGCAATACTTCTCAGCCCTTCTCCCTTCCTCACCTGCGTCTCTTCCCCCCACTGCTGGAGGCAGGTTTCGGGGTCCTGGTGGAGACAATCTGACAGTGGACGGTGCCCAGCAGCAACATGAGCAAGATGGCTTCAAACACCTCGGTGGCCGGTATCCCATGAGGCTGCGGGATGGTCACATACAGGAATGCTGCAGCGACTGTGAGAAATATGAACAAACAGGATTCATTAGAGCAGAAACAGACATTAAATTAAAGTAACAGTAGCAGCTTGAAGACAAAACTGCAGGTCTACACATTACATACAGCTTGTTTTAATCTACAAGTTTAACAAATGAGTAGAAAAGAAGTCTGAATGTGACTCAAGTGAGCAAAAGCTCCTCTAATGTTAATGTTTTGCAACAGAAAAACACACCAACTCAAATATGCAAAAAGAACTGATGAGTTTTAATATCTTCCCCTGGATTGGCCAACTGCTCTCCATCCCATCCCTCCATGTTACTATTTTATTTGTTGCTTCTCTGCTTGTCTCTTTCTTTTTTCTTTTCTTTTTTTTTTTTAGTGTAACATCAAAAATTTAAATTTAAAAAAAAAAAAAAATAGCTTGACACTTCAAGTTATTTTCATTGTAGTGTCAGCAAGAAGGCGTGTGGTGTTTTATGTGGTGTGTAGACGAGGTCGGCAGGAAGGGTGGAGGGAGAGATGAAAAACAACAGCGTTTTCTTCAGGGTAGAAAAGGTCAACGTGATGTAGGTGGTGGAAAATACCGTTCAGTGCTCGTGAAAGTGTTTGTGCAGAGAGAGCGAGTGAGCGTGTGCATCTGTGGGTGCAACCTGGAGGTGCTTCTTATAGAAGTCTGTGCATTTTAGGAAAAACATTATTTTACAAGCGCTTTGGCAGCTGTTCAAGCAGTTTGTGAACCTCGTTTTAAACTGAAGACTAAAGAAGAGGAATAAATTACCCTTATACTCAGCTCCATGTTTTTATTCTGGGAGTCTGCTGAGTACCTTTGCATGATTCACAGTTCAGAACATTTGCGTCTTATAAGAGGCCTTGGTTTATCCTCCAGACTGTTGTAGCTCCTACCACTTTAAAACCACTTTCTTCTGATTGGCAGCCCTTCACAGGTTTTCAATAACAGAGAGCTGGGGCTTCTCTGTAGAAATGTGTGTGCCTATTCTCCTGAACCATAGGTGTCACCACTCAGACAAAACTAGAGGCAAAGACTTTGAAAACATGAGACTTGTGGAAAAACGCTCTGCAAACTATCGCAACTTCTCCCTCTCTATATCTGCATATCTCTGAGCCTCTGTCCCACAATCTCTTTCAAATGGCAGTAAAAACCAATACAATCATACACGCGTGGCTTCAACCCAGCTGCGACATCAATGTTGCAACACGGCAGATCAGGAGCCGCAGAACCGACTAAAGCGGAACAATCTGCTAGACCAAAGTAATCATGAGGTTCTTGTGCAGCACCCTCTTGTGACTGACAGCTGGCAACCACTTGCAAACCAATTGGAGAATACACATTTTCTCTAGTAACAGCAGATTGCCAGGGAGTCGTCTAAGTCTGTGCGACTGATACATAAGATGACCATAAAAGGAGACATCTCCTCTGATGTTGTGCATATCCAAGAATTAAAAAAAAAAAAAAAAAAAAAAAAAAAAAAAAAATCAGGATTATTGTACATACACCAACCTCATTCTTTGAAAGTTTGGTCATGTTTAATATGATCAAATCTAAATGTAAAGAGCAAATATATGACAGGAGATAAAGAAAAAGCAATAGGTCACTCACTCAACAAATAATCAGGATTTATTTATTTGTACACCCACTACAGATGTTGAGTGTTCACCCTGACATCTTACTACACAAACAACTCGTCCCACAGTTTACTTAGGAGTTGCATTTCCACTCCACTGAGAGCACCAAGATTGTGGGTTGTGAGAAAAGAAAAAAAGAAACACACTCTCACACCAACCTTGCAGCAGATAGAGTGCCAGCAGTAAGAGGAAAATGGCCCTGGAGGTGACCTGGATCCACCATCTGTAAAAAAACGGGAAGAAGACGACTCGAACGATGCCCTTCCGGGTCAGTGACGTCCATGGACTCTCAGGTTTGGCCTTGGCAAACGCAGACCCTGAGGATAAGAAAACAGAAACAAACACACACACACTTTCAAGTTTAATGAGAGCTAATTAAAGCAAATGACTCTGCTGTGAGCAGAAAAGCACATCAGTTAATACATCCAGGAGTCACATTAGAGCTCAGCTAATCTTTTAATCTTCGCTTCTTCCTTTTTAGGCTCCCTCTCCCTCCTCATCTATCTTTTTTATCTCACCAGATCCCCCCGACTCAGTTTATCTTTTCCCTGCCTGCGTTTCTGCCTTGATTATGTCCCTAACCAAGGGGGATTAAACTGACTCTTCTGATGAATAATTGAAAATGTGATGAATATGAGACGGATGGATCGAGGCAGAAAGAAAGAGCGGGCATTAACAGCGACGGGAGGTTGGCACGGCCATGCTGCCCGTCTCATGTTCACATGTGTGTCTTTTATGCACATGTGGAAATGTTGCAGTCGGTCTACTGGATTTTCCTTAAGCAGAAAGCCCCCATTTTTTTTACTCCCTCACCTCTAACCAAGTCCACATCGATGAGATCTGGTTTAACGTGTCCCGTCTTCTTTGGCTTGTTCCTCAAGCCCTGCAGGGGGAGAGAGACGCAGAGTGAGTGCGACACAAAGAGACATCATTAATATGCAAATACTCACAGGGATACACGCTGCTCGTGCACTTTATGCCTTCATAAACACACGTGTGGTCAGTGTCTGATGAGGCACACCGTGCACTCACACAGCTACGGCTTCTACTCTAAGAGTTTATGCATCTACACACGTCAAGCAGATTTACATGTACAAGAATCCATTAATTCGTGGAGAACTGCATCTACACTTTAACGGGTATTTTGATTCTTGTGCTGTGGTGCAGCTTTTTTTGATGAATATACCCTCTCAGACCCTGAAGCCAGCCCTGTCATTACAAACTGTGTAATAGCGCTTACTCATTTTGACTGCTGTAGTTAAATACGGTGCTTTGTTCAGTTTATGACCCTGGGAATAACGCTCCCCTGTGGCATGCCAACTTCCTGTGCCAGCCTGTCACATCCTCCTATGATGCATACGCTCCATTTGTGTGTGTGTGTGTGTGTGTGTCTGTTTTTGTGTGTTATCTGTTAGCTCCGATAACAAACTGTACCGAAACATTATGAGCGACTATAAATTATAAAATTCACAGGAATCTCTTGTTTGACCTTTCTGTCACAGAGGCAGCAAATTAACACAGCTCAAAGCTCCCTGTGTGTGTGTGTGTGTGTGTGTGTGTGTGTGTGTGTGTGTGTGTGTGTGTGTGTGTGTGTGTGTGTGTGTG